CACCAATACTAAAACCAAACTGTGGATTTATCGGGTCGTCGGAATAGTTCTTCGACCATTTCATTCCATTCTTGACATCTTCCGTGTGAAGTAATCGTAACTGTTTCCAAAGTAAAATTTCAAAAATATCTTCACTCATAATTTTCGGCATTCGAAAGCAAGCAACATACGTTGTCAGTATGTGATTTTTCTCCCATAATGATGATTGATAATTGATAAATTTCATGAGATTGTGCCACAAGAGTTTAGTCGTTTCTTCAGTTGCTAAAACATCGTAAAGATTGAAGTCGAATGCATTCCTTTTCAACGCAATTTTCCCATTCAAACACGGAAAATTCGATTTCGCCACGTGTTGTTTGAACTGCTCTTTCATTGCGCATTCTTCATCAGTGGTGATCCCTCTTGATATTTTGCATTCAGGCACCGTTTCATGATTGATCAAATTTTCCTTGAGAAAATAGCCCAGTTTTTCCTTTTCTGTGCTTCGATGTACTTTGCCAATCCAGTACTTTCGATTTACTAATTGTTTAATGGCATCAGATGCTAAGTGTACTTCATAGAATATTCGAGTGATATCTCTACCGGCAAGTTCAACGATGATGTCGAGCCCTCCCGAGTGACTATGCATTGATGCTAAGCAATACACATCATCGTCGATGATGATCCATCGATCATTTTTGTGATTTTCCACTTCGGCTACGGTGAACACGCGAGGATTACAACAAATTTTCGCTCGAAACAACGCATAATATCGCTTGAAAAGTGTGAGAATATTGGCGATCAACGTTAGAAAATACATAGCATCATAAGAGAATCTGAAAACGAAAACTGTTCCGAGTTATCAAAAACACGAATTACCAGTAAGAAACAATTGACAAAGTGGAAATATCGAGGAGTTTGTGAAATATAACTCTAGGCTTGTTCAAACCAAGACGAGTAGATTATGAATATAATCATGAAATGGAGATTCATTTGAATTTTTTCCGAGAGGGAAATAGCGTACTTTTGGACTTGAAGTTACTTAGAGTTACTTGAAGTTACTTTCAACTACTTTAAGGGTACTTTAAACTACTTCACATTACTTTCGGTTACTTGACCAGTACTTTAAGCTACTTCGAACTACTTCAAACTACTTTGGCCTACTTCATATGACTTCGAACTACTTGAAAATTGTATGATATAGGTCCAAACAATAATCGTCAAAGTTATCAGTATAGTTCCTTTTACTTTCATACACTTAAAAGAAAAGTTGATATATATTGGAAACTCCAATATATCAAAAACCTGCTTCATCAATACAACATTAAATATGCTCATCTTTGAGAAATATACAATCATACTCTACAAATTCAATTCAATAACCCGATCGATCGAGAACATGCCGACAAAACACTACCCATCGATATTTTCTACGAAGAACACTTTCACTGATCGGTTAATAACGATGAATAAGTGTTTTTTATTTCTTTTTGTTATTGTGATATTTCATTTTCTTTTTATTATTGATATATCTCCTCTCTTCTCATCTTGAGTTCATTGCTACTTTCTATAGATGCCTCTATTATTATTATACTGGTCGTTGTGATAACCGTTTAAGGGAAACAAACGAATTAAGAGAAAATGTGGATACCATTATAGAGGCACATGAATTTGTGTGATAGTGAGTGAATTTAACACGAAAATCTAGCAATACATAAAAAATAAATTATTAAGAAGCAGAGTTAACTGCAATTACTTTTGTTTTGATAGCATAGTACTCAAACTTGAGTCCTATTAAATTAGAAAATGGCCTGTTCTAATAAATAAATCTTGAAAATATTGGAAAAAATAAAAACTCACTGAAATAATACGAAAAGTCCAAGAAATTTATAAGTGTATTGACAATAGAACATTTGCTGCTCTAACGATTCAGTGATTACAAGCGGCAATTCAATTAAGTCGATGGAATATGACGTTCTCTCGTTGGCATCTTTGAATAAGTGTGATGTCCAATGAGTATATAAAATGCGATTTTCAATGCTGACAGCAAAATAGACACTTTCACCATTATCACCAAACACACCAGTACCCAAAATCACACTCACCCACCACACTCACAATTGGGGTCACATACTACATCCTGACTATGTATTTGAGCTATTCTATAAATCAATTAAACATGTTCAATGAGGTATATCGGCTTATTTCATGATGACATGTGTTAAGAAAGTCATATCGAGGTGCTTCAATACTTTGTTTCCCCAATAGAAAGGTTTCATTTCTCTCATATAAAAATTCGAATTCGGTGTAAAGCAATTATTTTAACAAATTGAAATGACTTAGGTATCGTAGCAACTCGAGAACATAAATATGATATAATTAATTCCAAATTTAGAAATAGTGCGATAAAAATGCAACTGAAACATAGAATTCGATTCTTCAAGCATTTATTCACTACTTTCAGCTAGATTTTCGTGTTACCTTCATTCACCATTATAAAATTCCATGAGCCTTTATAATGTCATCCACATTTTTCCTTAATTCGCTGTTTTCCTTAAACGGTTACCACAGGTCCTGTCGTCTTCGCTTTTGTGTGCGTGTATCTAGGCGATGTGATTTCTCGGATCCTGAGACTGAGGGGATCGCTGTTTTTGTCTACACCTTAGCGTGAACAAATGCCTGGGGTACTTCACTCGACCAAGAAGAAGATGTTAGCGTCAATAGAGGTCATTCTATTACCGTTAACTGGGCAGCTAGCGATTATTGGTTTCATCCCTTCCTCCTCTAAGTTGTTCTCTTTTATTTTCTCTGGATATTCCAATGATTATCCAATTCTCTGAGTGATTTATCAGTTTTTTCCCCAGTTGTTGTTTTGGTTTTCTTCCTCTTTGTTGTTTTTCCCTTATTGTTATTGATTTTCCTTCCCATCGATAACATTTTATTATTTTCCATTTTTTCGTTACATGTTTTCGGTATTATTATATCTAATAAACCCTCCTCTCATCATCGATCCTTCATCTCAACGTCGAGATACGGTAGGCGTGTGTATTTCTTTTCTTACATGCGTGTTCTCGTTTTCTTATCAGATCGGGATCTAAACATAGTAGTCATTTGGCGTAAACTTCAGTATGAACAGAAGTAGTTATCAAACGGATAATTGAAAACTTTACAGGATTCAACAAGAAATGTTATAATATCGCGAATGAAAACTCTGAATAGTCTATTTCATACTTTTCGATTTTGACAATGAGATACAGAATACTGTGTGGTATTTACTGATAAAAACAAGACTATCTCTGTTTGTATTTTCTGTTTATTGGTGAAATGAAAGCGATGAATGACAATGGCTAGGCGGTGATCCTTTCCAGTCTGTATGCATCGGCAATTTATCGCCTTTCATGATGAGTGTGCATGGACAGATTGTATTATTTCCATCAAGATGACAGCCGGGTAATACAAGCGCATTCGCCATCAGATGAGAGCGAGTACCAATTGACACTGGACGCAAGTATAATTGACGATATTCGTAAGTATGTGCCTGAAAAGTTCAAAATTTGGTGCTTAAACGCTTGAAAACAGGTAAAATAAGGTTGACAAGTTGTCAGAATTGAAGAAATTCTCAGCCAGGAGACAAAATATTTCTCAGAGAATCATAGAAAAAATCTACGATCTCAGACTAAAACAATGCCAAAAACTTCATAGGTTGTAAATAGATGTAAATCATTCATATTTAACTTGATTGTTCAGGTTCGATATGATATTATTATTTCTCAAAAGTAACATTTATTCAACTTTTCTCGCGTGGAAAATGAACATGCATATATTGTTAATACCTAAATACTAATTCAGACCTGCCAAAAAAAGAACCTGCACATTTGCATATATCCTTATATGAGAGAATATTCAGTGACTAGAATTCAAAATTGGTAAAGCTCAACATCTCAACGGCCCTATTTACAATGCAGGGATGTAGCCAGCAACAAGACCAACGTCTTTAGTGACAACAATGATGGGCATGTCAATTTGTATTGAAGTACAACAATAGGAAATATGATCTATATTCTATCAAGCATGTCAATACATGACGATTGGTTCATGTAACAAGAGAATATCATATGTTCGCCCCGTAGGGATTAGGTGAAGAAGGCTTTTTCTAACGACTATTAATAGATAAAGTTCTCTAGTCTCCGATCGTACTTACTTGCACACGAGCTCGTTGATCGATGCGTACATGTGAATCAATCTGGATTAAATGCGGATCATCGATGCAATCTATATCAGCTATGATAGCAGTCCGATGGATCATAGCACCAAATGCGTTTAGAACTATGTTGAGCCATTGTGTACCACCGAGAAATGGTCCCACATACAGATTGAAATCGTTGACAAGTGTGGAACTCAAACATGACAACAAGGATGAGTCTTTCTTCGGTGAATAGAGAATACAGACGAATAGCGAGAAGACAATGACTGAAATAGGTAGAATAGTCATATGCATTAAACCGAAAATGAGTAACAATGAAACAAATCGAACGAAAATTAATCGAATAATCGAGTAAGATGGTATGTTTCGATGGAATATATTGTCGATAGGTCGAACAGTAGTGAAAAGTGTTGTTTGTCGAGCAGGAATGCCGACAAGTACTTGATTCGACTCAGTAAAGGTAGATGAACTGTCAACACGTGTCATTGAGCCGACACTTGCTGACAGTGGGATACGAGCGCCAGCTTCAATAACGCAATCGTTACCCAATGAGGCTTCATCTTGAATGCAAACAACAGCATTGCCATCGTCAAAAAGGATGTCCGAGCCAAGCATCACATTTGCGCCAACATCAACAAGATGACGACGAACTGTAAGTAGATTGGTAATCGTTCCGCTGCGCACATTTTGACCAATATGAATGCGACCTAACCAACAAACTAATCGAGGATAGATGTTTTCAGTTGCTGCTGTTTCGTCGCCTTCGAATGTCAATGGAATGGCAAATCCAAAAGCGGTAACAAGCAAGTGTCGGATCCACCATGAATCGATCGTCGAAGGTAACCATTTGAGAGTGATGAGCGAAATAAATATGCATTCCAGTAACCATATGAGGCATGTCAGTGGCCAATAGGATAGCGAACAGATCAAAGCCATGTGTAAGAGACATTCATGAATGAACCATACCGCACAAATACCTAATAGTGAGTTGAACATACCGACGGGTGCTTCATTTAAAACTTCATAGGTCTCCAATGTGCATACTTGCTCATAATCGTTTACGAGTACATTTGCAGCAATGGTGCCTGCTGTGAATAAAATAAGCTTTCTTTCGATGCTGAAATGCAATTGATGATTATCTATGTACTTACTTATGGATGTCAAGGGTTTTGCAAGAACGTAATCACCAATATGAACTTGCGAGTGTAAAACACTTCGAGCACCGATTCTACACCGAGCACCAATTTGAATGGAAGTCAGTCTAAATGTCTTTTCAGATTCGTATGTCATTGAGCTGAGCACCACGTCTTCAGCCACGAATGAGTTATCACCAATATCGAGGAGATCAGGTAGATCGATTAGACTAGTTCGTAGATGAACATTGACTCCGATTCGAGCTCCACACAATCGCAAATAGGTGTTGTAGAGTGATGTGCCTTGAAGCATATGAAGCCATGGCTCATTCAATTTCCACAAGCGTTTCAAAAACCACCATCGATAATAGACAAATGAATAGATCCGATATGATTCATTCGTTGATGACAACATAAATAATCGTTTGAACACAATGTAGAAAAGCAAGTGAAATAGTGGAGCCACAACGAGAGATAGTCGAAATGCCAGATAGATAGGTACGGCAAAGATATAGATCAGAACCAAGATGCCCAGTGTTTCGACAAGCAATGATCTTGATGTACTATCCTCATCAAAACGTTGATCGATAGATGGCGAAGAGTGTACGAATCCAGTTTCGGATGGCACTATTCAAGCAAAAATATGACTTTATTAAATGAATGTGTCACAAATCTCTAAAAAAGATCATTATTTTCTCTCGACAATATCAATGTTAACTTTACTCAGAAATAATCTTGTCAATTCAATAGCCTTTGAACTTCGAAAGCAGGTTCACTATTGGAATGAGCACGAAAATTTTGTCGAGTACCAAGTTCAGACTTTTGCTCTTCGGATCTCTACACTATCGCATATATCACTCATTAACATCGCACCGATATTGGAAAAAATTTACTTCATAATCAATTTTGCATGGTTCACATGAAGATGCCTTTGGAAATTATCAATGTTTCTCATTTTCAATGCGCACTTTCTGACTCATTTTGGGATCTTATACAGAGAAAAAAGTTTCGAATTTTGTCTTTCAATGTCAGCAAACTATTGTTTTGAAAATACGTCTCTGACACGCTTCGAGAACGGAAGATGCAAAAATGCCGCTCAAATTACCTTTAGCAAAGAGTTCATCGTGTGAGAATGATGAATCCAGTGCCTTTGCTAGCAGACGCACTGACGGATTTGCGAGGAGCGTGCCGATATCAATCGGATGCGAATCAGTCAATTGTTGCCGTCGAATGAGACCAAGAGCTTTGATAATACCTAATGAAGTGGCGCCAAGCTCGGCAAAAGTTGCTTCCACATTGAGTGATGCTGGATTTGACAATTCAAATGCTTGCGCAAAAATGTAACAGAGTTTACGTTCAAGTGACGATAGAACTTCATTTTGATGATTCGGAACAATGTCAGCAGTTGGTCGAGGCAGACGACTACGATCAATTTTTCCCGTATGAGTAAGTGGAAATTGATCGAGAACAATGAAAAATGAGGGTACCATAAACGAAGGTAAGTGCTCTTGGCAAAAATTGCGAATTTCATTATCGTTGATTGAATGCTGATCATCATTACATTGGACATAAGCAATCAGGTGATCAACCGACGCGAGTGATACTTTGAGAACAAGACAATTCGAAATTTTGGAATCAAAATGGAGAATAAGTTGTTCGATTCCATCTAATTCGATTCTTTGTCCACGAATTTTGACCTGATGATCACGACGACCCAGAAATTCGAGCTGTCCACTTTGCGCATTCAATCGACCGAAATCTCCCGTCCGATAACACCGAGATCCATTGTAATCAATCAACACTTCCCGAGTGAGCTTGTCCTGATTCCGATAACCGACGAATACACCAGTTCCTTCAATAGATTTGATTCTCATGTTAAACATGCTGAATAACAATAGTCAATGTTTTGTTTCTACGAACGAAAATCTGGTGCCGATCAACAATCAGCAGAAGCTTTTTCTCCACTTTGTTGGTATTTCTCAAAAAAAAATACAGTTTTGAAGAACCACTCAAATTATATTAAATCGAACAAAATATAAGTAAATACACTGCATGAATTTGGTTTTTTTGTAAAGCATTGCAACGTTAATCAAACATAACGTTACAGTACGGCTCGAGCTTTGGGAATTTTTTCACAAAAATTGTTTCTTTTCTGCTTATGAAACTCATAGAATTTAAAAGAAACATATGATAGAAATGGCAGCTCCTTACCTCCGATGATAATTTCACCTGTTTGACCGGGCACGAGTTCTTGGAGGAACTCGTCAAGTATGTAGATTTGTGCATGAGCCATTGGTCGTCCAATCGGTAGACCAATGCGATTTTGTGATTCATTACCTGTCACTACGTAGCATGTAGATGCTACAACACACTCCGCTGGACCGTAGTAGTTCCGTATAACGCATTTCGTATCCAAAAATGGTAGCAGATCAAGAGCCGTTACCAAATAGAGTTTCTCACCTACAATTTACTTCGTAATGCATTTTCGATCATAAATAGAAATGACATTAGTTGATGCATAAGATATTCTCTTTATTTGGCATTTAGGGATGAGAGGAATAATGGTCAGTCATTTACTGCGTGTCATTACTCCTCCTTTTGCCTAACATCGCGAGCGAAAAGTTGGTCATTCTCTACACAAGTGACGCAATCAAGTAGAAAGAAGAATGAAAAAATGGAAGATAGAACCGAATTAGAGAAGTGATCGACCACTTTTTTCATCCACGGGTAATCCAAATCTAACTAATGATTCAATTAGCAAGTAAAGCTATAATTTTTAACTCATCAATTTACGACTTATCGATAAGCTTTGTACATTTTTTTTTCATAATACAAATCAAGGAGCATCTGCTCATACTATGTAAACTGAGAAAGACATACCAAATATAAAAAGCTGGAGAGCACAAGCTGCCGCTATCCAGGAGCAAAACTCTTGTCTGATCACAAATTGAAGTGGATCTTAGAATTTTTCTGTTTATGTCAAAGTTGAAAAGTGCAAGTTTTTCGAACAGGATAAATATTACGGGAATTTTGATCCTTTCCGTTTATGGAAATCTAAATGTATCTCACGTTTTACCATTCCCTATTCCGTAAATTCGAAGTGTAGATATTTTTAAAAAATATCTACTTTCTTATAATACTAACAGTCTTCCTTAGCATTAAAGAATTATAATAGTATTTTTGCTAATCTCTATTGCTTTTTAACGATCAATCGATACATTCGTAAAAATCGCTTCAAATCACAAACCTCCAGATGCAATACAACGTAACGATTTCAGACGTCTGTCTTGTTCAACTTGAGGCAATGATCGTAATAAGTTTGTAAGCATGATAAGTGTCGTAGGTACAGTACCTAGAAATGTAACTTGATATCGAGTGATTGTTGCCGAGAAATAATCCATGTCGAGATGGTATGGATCTGGTTTGAGTATCACAAGTTGAGCACTACTTATCAAACTGCCAGCTATCTCTTCGAGATGAGGATCGAACGAAACGGACGTGTGTTGGAGTACAATACTTGTTGAACTGATAACGTACGAACGAATATAGGATACAAAATTTCGATGACGCAGTTGAATCTAGATCAAAGATTTAAAATAAAGGCAATTGATGAATATAATCTTATCTTTTCGGATTTATCTCTTTGTCTAATCAATGGAACTATTCGTTAGAATCATTTCTATTGAAAGAGAAGTCAATTTTCTGTTATTAAGGGTACTATTCTCAGGTTGAAAACTACTAAGGAGAATGACTGAAAAGAAAAGTCTGTAACTTACAGTACAAACAGATCTATTCTAGTAAGTTGTTCTAGACTCGATAATGATAAAAATAATCTAAATTATGTTTTCCTCTTCTGTTAAAGGATGTTAACTGATTCCATTGAGAATTTTTCTTCAGTATTTTGAGACATTATAACGGATCTCTATTTTATTAGATAATTGTTGAAGAAAGAAGATTGAAATACGAATAGCATCCGGAAAATACTTTGTTTTAACATGGTTTTATAAGATTTTTCAAAATTCAACCGAGCGATTCTTATAAAAATAAGAAAAAGAATTCGAAATACTTAGGAAAATTGTTGAGCTGTATAGTTTTTAGCTTACTGCTTTCGGCTCGCCTGTGGAACCTGATGTAAAAACAATATGTGAGAGATGGTCGGATGTAACCAAAATCGAATCCAATATGGATACATCGCTGTGCTGTTCTAGAGGAATTTGATCTAATTCAACAATAATGGCATCTAGATCGAGCGTAGCATAGAGTCGTGTTGCATCGTGAATGAGTACTGTACGAGCTTTGAAATTACGAATATGTGATTGGATTTGTGCAGGTGGATCTCGAGGATTGAATGGTGTATAAACAGCACCGCACATCCAAATAGCAAAAACGCCCAACACCGTGTGAATACTTCGTTCTACAACTTGCAACACAATGTCGCCAACGTTGACGTGACATGTTGCGAGAAGATACATGGCCCACTGTTGCGAATGATAGAGGATTTCACTATATGAAAGACTCTGATCTTCCATAATAATGCCAATTTTTTGTGGATGATCGTCTGCTCGACGAGCAAATATCCAGTGACAAGGTTCAAACTCTAGTGCCGGAATAACAGAATTGAAATCGTGTAATATTTGCCGTTCATTATCGAGTAATATGCTGAATTCATAAACAGGTCGTTGGTCATCAATGAGCAGTTGTGTCAAGAGCAGTTGAAATCGATGAGCGAATGTTTCAATGGTCCAATGATTGAATACATCAAGAGAATAGTCGAATGTATAAGTGATTCTATTTGTTGAAAGATCGTGTTTAAATGAAAGTGATAGATCGAATGGCGTCATGCTCACAGGCGTAGTCATAGATAAGAGTTGAAGGTTGTTATCGAGTGAATATCGAGTGATGACTGTTTCGAAATCCAACGTTGTGACAATGCCACTTGTTGAATGCAAAAGCTTGGATAAAGTCTGAAAAGGTAGTCGAAGATGGGGTAATACATTGTGACAAAGACTTTGCACTTGTTCGATCAGTTGTCGAAATGTTTTTTGTGGTTCGATCTCGAGACGATAGGGCACCAGATTAGCAAACATGCCAATCAACGAGCTTAGTTCGGGTCGTGTTCTATTGGTGACAAGGCCACCAACCATCAGGTCTCGACTGCCAATAAGTTTGTAGAGGAACACATAGTACGTAGCAAGACACAACTGGAAGAGTGTTACTTGTCGTTGACGAGCGTAGGTCACAAGTGCATCCCCATGCTGTACAAACGCAGATGATCCTCTACCTGTCCGAACAGTTCTCGAACAAACTCGATCATAGGGCAGCTCGAGTATTTGATGATTTCTCAGATGATCTTTCCAGAATGCCAGAGACGCTGACATGTCTAGTTGTCGTTCCCATTGGGCGTAATCAAGATAGGTGGGCGCTTCATGGACAACATCAGTGAGTTGAGAAGTGGAATACGCTTCGCATAGATCATTGAGAAATAGGGTTTCGCTGGTGCCATCGAATGCTACATGGTGGAAGTTGAAAACAATAATACTGTCACCACTTCCCTCACGGTATCGAATCACATGACAGCGAAAGACTTGACCTTGGACAAGATTGAAGTACGATCGGTTAGTTTCTTCATCGGCAATGAGGTTGCAGAGATCAGTATCGTTGTCAATACAACTTTCAACAAGAGGCACTTCGAACGCATGTGATGGCAGAATACGTTGACGCAGTTCACCCGGATCGTCGTCGGACATTTGTAGACAAGTGCGTAATGACACATGTTTTTCAACAAGTAGTTGAAGGCTTGATCGAAGACGCGATATTAACAATTGGGATTTACCGTCAGTCGATAGGATACGAAAAGCGAGCACGATATGATAAACAGCAACGCCATCATTATCACTCTGGAAGCGCATTTGCTCATCAAGCCAAATAGCTTCCTGTTCGAATGATGCCGGCGCTATAAAAAACATTTCACTGTGTTATAATCGAAAATACGACTCAATCATAAAATATCTCGCATTCTGTAGAGTTATCGAGTGATTCTTTGAACGTCTCAATATTATTTCATAATCTAATCACTTTTCGTCGAAGGAAAAACTATGTTTGGCAATAAAAATAAGACAGAATAGCATGTAGTTTCACTCCAACAAAGTTTGAGAAAGAGAAGAAGATAGTGCCAAAGAATTGAGTAATCATAAATGCTATTTCACATTGTTTGCAACTTTTTCTCTCTTCAAAAAAGCAAACTGCAAGAATTTTCTAACTTGCAAATGAGACTATTTTGAGCAGAATTTGTAGGCCCATCACTAGGAATGTAACAGTTCCAGTTCATGTTGAACTAGTTAACCAGTTCTTTTGAAAAAAAAGAACTAATGTTGATTCGTCGTATAAAGACTAAACCTATCCAATGTGCATCATTTCAAAATGAACTGGAACTGTTGTAGTCCTAACTATCATCATTTTGATGGTTTCGAATGGAACAAAATAAAACCGATGGGTCATCTTATGCAATAATTAGGACTCTCAAGCAATTGTATGCGATGCGAAAGAAATACAGAAAATGTCGAATTTGAAAAATTGTATAAAAATAATTGTGAGACAAATATTGGTTCGAAGAATCGAAAGAAAAGTCCAAGAACTTGTTCGAAGGATGCTTTGCCGAATGTAACTGTAAAGCTCCACCTAATTCCCATTTCGTTTGTTTCGCACATTAGATTGTATCCTAGAGTCATTGTGATGAACATCTCTTGATCAATATTTAATGTTTCGAACTTCCGACAAAATGGAGCTTTAGTCATCAAAACATTCGTGTCTTATACAAGTGAACAGACTCGGAAAAAGAGAGTTGTATTTTTTCAAAAGATCAACAGCTTTTTCTGAGAGGAGGTAGAACTTTGTAGTGTGAAAAAAGTATCTAACTTGAAAAACTAATTTGTTGTGTTCTGATTCGATTTGTTTTATCTGATGAGTAGCGATTTTTCAAGAGCATGGATCAGATTTATGATAATAAAAAGATTCAATGAAAATTTCAAATGTCCATTCTTTCTTTCGAATACTGTTTTGTGAAGTTTATGATTAAGTATGAAATGAACAAAAACGAAAAGATGACCTTCGGTAAGATGCTGGGACTGCCAAACCGATGGAGTGATGATTTCATTCTGTTTCGTTGCAAGAATTTGAGCATGGTGCGCAATTGTGGCATGCCGGATGAAAGCCGGTAGATCAAACTGTACATCTTTTGTCTGTTGTCGATAATGGTAGTCATTCGCAGCAAGCATAAAATGCAAAGAGTTAGCACCCAGTGCAAACAAATTGACGTTGCATGGCACTCGATCTATTCTCAAAAGACGACACCACAATGCATGTAAGTAGAGTTCAAGTTCATTTTGAGGTTCATCATCGGTCGATACTAGATTTTTTGGACGTGATGGGAGTGGTAAACGAGTACGATCGACTTTGCCATTAGCATTTAATGGAAATTGATCGAGGACAACAATAACTTCTGGTATCATACTTGTCGGAAGATGTTGTTGACATGCCTCATTGACAATTTGTTCAATATTGGTGTCGGATGAACGAGATTGAACATAGGCAATCAAGCGATCATCATTCGCTAAGATTACACATGCATTTAATTGATCGCGACATTCTCGCAATATCACAGTCTCGACTTCTCCTGTTTCAATTCGTTGACCTAGAAATCAAAATTTCAGAGTAATAGTTAAGCTTCCTTTTGAATATGATTTTCTCGTTTTCTAATGCATCTTACTACGCAAATGGACGCATTTTAGAAAATATGTCAATATATTTTATCCTTTCGTTTGTTGGCCATCCGAATTTCCTCTTAATTCGTGCGCATTGGAACTTTTCTATGTTCGTGTTGTATTTACCTCGTATTTTTACTTGAAAGTCTCGTCGGCCAACGTAGGCTAGTTCGTCATTGACAATTTTGACGAGGTCACCCGTACGATAACACATGCTGCCGTCGATCATCACTAGCCGACTGTCGAGCGGATTCGGACCTCGGTTTAAATAGCCTTGAAATACAGTTGGTCCGCCAATAAATAGTTCACCAATACCATCTTCTTCTTGTATGACATGACAAATATAGTTCGGAAGTGGAAAACCGATGGGAACAAATGAAGACAGTGATGACGGTGCACAATCGTGATCAAACACTCGACGATACGTACAATCGACGGTTGTTTCAGTTACGCCATAAGAATTCAAGAGATGCGTGTTTGACGGAAGATATGTTAGAAGTTCACTAGCCAATGTCCGAGAAAGTGGCTCTCCTGTTAGAGATGATCAAAGACAAATCAGATTCATTTAATATATTTTAGAAAAAGTTTAAGAACTTTCGTACAATCAATCCTTAAACGAGTGATCGATCGATTTGATCAGATGCTATTGATTATGTGACACCTCAACCCAGGTCAATAATGTCCGACTGTAAACGATCGTGTCGCAGTCAGATACGGCGGAAAATGGCAGCTGTTTACAGAGATCATAAATGGTGCTTTACGGTGTATTACGTTCATCGTAAACGGCTGACGTAAATCCTGATCATTTATGGCTACCGTGAAAATACGGCGATCGTAAACAATAGTTGGACAAAATCGGAAGTCATCGTATGCGTCAGCTGTAAAACTTTTAACGAACGTTCATCGTCTTCTATCGTACTTCACCGTGAACGGTTGTTTACATCTAGCGTTCTCTCATCAGAATGAGGATTAGTATCAAAGAATGCTAATACTATTAGCTGTCCATCGACAATCCTCCTTGAGAATAATGCGTTAGCCCACCATTAAAAAGCTTGATCGATACTACGTATTAGACTCAACATTGTATTATTTTCATTTCGAATCCATGTACTTCTTCAGTTTTTCACAGTCTATTTAAACAAAATCCCTGTAGCATTCTAGGTCATTGAAAAATGATCGCAAGTAATGCTGCTACCATCCGAGGGGATCCAGATAGCATCCCAGGTAAGGCTTCAGAAGTAATATATGCTTCATGCATCAGGTTTACGGACAATTTTAATATGAAACTTGTTTTGCATACTTAAAAGTTCTTTTAGTGCTATTAGTTAACACGTCAAACACCGTAGACGGACTGTTCACATCCAGAATGACTCCATCCTATGGTATATATGACTATCATCATATGGTTCAGTTCATCTCGATACTGACTGAGGTTTCGAGTAAATAAACCTAGAAATACTGAAAAAATGCATCCAATACCTAGAAACTACAGGCATCCCTTAAATATCTATGAATCGAAGCAAGCTTGTATGTCAAGATAAAAACATGTATACCTCCAAACCTACACCTGTACGGGTAAAAAAATTGTCACCTGACAGTATAAATTCCTTATAAATCCGTTTTTCTGAAAATCCTTCCGACGAACATTTGAACAGATCCCTAGGACGTTGTAACTGAAGTGGCAACATATAAAATGCGAATATATGGGACTGATGCTCTCCAGAGCTTCGATTCCCAATTTATCACAAACGACTTCGTCCGGTGGCTTCAGTTTAATTCAAAAAGACGTAAAATTTTCTTTAAGACGCTTGAAGCTCTTTCTACCTGAAATCTTCAAATGAGTTGATTTTCAATTCAAATAAATGGATTCTAAGCGAAAAGGCATTGTAAAGCATTTTCAATAGTCAACATATTTGTTTTAGCTGGTTTCTAAGGGGTAAAATGACTTTTGTTAAAAAAATATGTTTTTAAGGGCTTAAAAAAAGGCCTTTTTCTTGAAACCTCCTAAATAATGTGATTTCTTCATCTAAATGCATGGGTTCTTATAGAAAAATGCATTGTAAAGTCCTTTTTTCATAAGAAATCAGATTTCTCTGTAGAAATTATCTCAAGAGTAAAAAGAATTTTTATGAAAAAGGACTTAAAAAGGCCCTTTTTTCAGTAAACTTAAAAATAACATGATTTCTTTATCCAAATTGATGAGTTTCAATAGAATAAGGCATTGTCAAGCCTTCTCGTGATCGACGCTTACGTAGTAGGCAAAATTTGTGGAGAGAAGAATTTTTCAGAAGAAAGGCCTAAAAAGGTCACTTTCATGAAACTTAAAATTAACGCGATTTTTCTATCTAAATGAATTGATTTCTATAGAATAAGATAATTTAAGACACTTGCGATTGAAATGTGGTATTGGGTAATTTTTTACAAGAAAAATGGATTATTGTGAAAAACGACTTTAAAGACGTTTATTAATGCTTCTCGGTTTCCTTCATTACTTGTTGTGTTTGCATAGCAAAATAAGGGAATTGGATAATAAACAAAAGTTCAGTGTCGTCCACTGTCAGCGTCTATTTTTTTAATAGCCAGTGCGACGTTTCACGGTAATTTATGGCCGTTAACGTTTCTGTGTTCTATCAGATCCGCCTAAATATGGCCGTATCACGGCATAGGTTCGGGTGTATTCGACGTCTGTATTTCACTGTATACGGCACGGCGTTACACGACCGTAGTACTATCGCTACTAAATGGGTGAAACACGGCTCGTTTACGATCGCAATTTTACCGTCTACCACAGTTTACGGTCGGCGTAATCATCGACCTGAGACCACTGTAACTGACATTTATATGGAGATGTGAGTAGATATCATTCTAACCTGTAGACACGACGATTCGTAGCGATGGTGAAAATCGTTGTTTGAGACGGCCGAGATAATCGATAAATGCAATCGCCAGCGACGGTACGAGATTGATAACTGTGACTTGATGTTGACGCATAGTCTGTATCAAATAGGCGGTATTCAAATGAGCTCCGTGACTTGATTGAAGCATGACACACGTGCCACCAACTAGCACTGCTCCGAGAATCTCCTCCAGATGAGCATCGAACGTGTCTCGTGATATTTGAAAGATAATATCACTCGTCAAGATATAATTTTCGTAGCGCATGCCGGCGAGATAGTAGGCAAAGTTGGCATGTCCAATAGGAACACCTTTGGGAGTACCGGTCGATCCCGATGTGAATACAACGAAAGCAAGAGAACTTGAGTCATGTGTAACCTTGACATAAGATAATGATTCGATGTTCTTTTGTTCATCAATCCGTAGTTTGATGTAGCGATCATGTTCATCTGTAAAAAGATGATCTGTGGCTGTGTGTACTAGCACAATTTTTGCTCGAGTTTCATCCATTAGTATTCGACGTCTTTCGATTGGATCATTTGGACTCAATGGACAATAGACCGTATTGCACAGGAATATGGCCAGAATACCGATAATCATTTCGATACTTCGTTCCACGCATTGACACACAATATCACCCAAACAGACGACTTGTAAGAGACGAGATCCGAATGAAATTACAAGTGAATACAGCTCGCCATACGTCAGCGACTGATTATCAAGTACAACAGCAAGTTTATTGGGATGTTGAAATACTCGTGCTTCGAAACGATCAAAAAGATTCATCGATGGTACTTCGACATTGATTGTTGGACCTCGAAGAGTGGTTCTTTGGGCGTCATATGTAGACATGATTTGTGTTAAACGATAAAATAAATCGTAATCTGTTCTACTACAATGATTTTTTGTTTCTTCTGATCAAATGAGTCGTGAGTATTGAGAATCGTTGTAAACTAGTATGTACTGCTTCGAATATAGGGTTCAATATACTAAAATATTGAATAATTATGTTTGAAAGAAGACAAGAATGAGATGAAGAAGATGCTTCATCTCAAGCGTATGCAATTGATATCTGAGAAGGTCATGAAGATAATGGACTCTTTTGCGTTTACATTTCGAAACTTCATTGAAATCGTCTATACAGCAGTCATTTAATGGATTTTGATTATAAATTCGTGTTTACTGATCATGTTTTAATAGTCACCTTTCTCGATATAACGTTCTGACAAAAGAAATTTCTGGATCTGCACTCGAATTAGGTCGAGAATGCTGTTTTGTGCCATTTTCAAGCGATGAATGAAAGAGTCCACTTCTGCGATACTTTTAGTCCTGAGAAACGTTTAGATATTCTCATCCAAAATATCTGATTTGACTTCGAAGCGTATTAGTCGAGTAAGACAAAAGAACTCAGAAGCATAATCTTAAAATCAACTTTTACGATGAGATATGTTTTATCACAGAAGGTAAATTGTTGTGTCGTAAATCATCGAAAGAGAAGAGATACTTCATTTTACGACTTCATCTACGACTGCATTATAGTTAACCCAGAAATTGGTCGTGACTAAGAGTTATCTGTCAACAACTATTTATAATAGCCATAAATTTTCTCTTATTTATCTTTGTTCAGGACAAAATTATCTCGAACTTGATCATTGGCGTTGTTATTTGATCTACGCACTTGATTTCTCGCTTCTCCTGTTAAGCATTGCGCGTATAAAATGGTGGAATAGCATTTGAGTAACCTTATGAATAGTCATATGATGATTTCTAGTTTAAGGGTAGTAATTTGAGCAAGAACATAATTGATTTAATAGCAGCAATAAACATAATTACTTGAATCTCTAAGAGTCATTATGAATACAGATGCAATTCTCATCAAATGACACAGACAGAGAACAATAGGATACAAATATTATTCGATTGAGCGATAGCATTGGCAATTTCAATGTCAAATCGAACTACTCTTCAATAATGTGTAATCTTTTACAACCTTCGATCTTCTCAACAGAGATACAAATATATTGATTACTGCTATAAAATCGATTATCTATTTACTCAAAAGTCATCCCGCAATTTGATATGTGGACTACTGAGCAGGAGCAGCGAGAAATCATATGCGCAGATCAAACAACCACTCTATCTCGCTCGCATGTCAAAGCAATGACATACTTATCCAGTGTTTCAGCTTGACATTCATATGTGGAACAATAGGTCTGATCGAGTTCGATTTATTCATAAGCTTTGCAAAATGAGCCGCTAGTTGTCCAATAGAGGAATGTCCAGATTACTAACTGAAACAGCCGAAACAAAATGTTCGAACAAAGCTCAGTTGCACACAGTCCAAGATGAAGTCTAGAGGTTTAATTCGAACTATATGATATTCCGGACACGTAAGATGATAAATAGGAGAGGAAAATGAAGGATCTTTGGGTGTGGTTTGTGGCTTGCAGGGTAAAGATGGGTGAGGGTGAGGGAATGAGGTGTGGGATATACTTAGGGCAATCCAAAAGTAGTGGCGCCATTACCAAATTTTCTTATAGAAAGGTTAAAGAAATTTTCTTTTTTTATGAACAGATAGAACGTCTTTCGCCCTATTTTTTTA